AAATTATAATTAGGTTGTGAGCTGTTTGGGCAAGGAATTGCCTTTCTGTAGGCAGCATGTACTTCATTTTGGATGCTTTCTATAGTATAAGCAAACTACACGGTTTTCTTTGTTATTTGCTAATGTAATAAAACAGAACTGGCCAGATTGGGAGCAGGTAAAAATTAATTTTTCTTTCCCCAACTAAACGCATCTTCCTACAGAAACTTTACAAAGCATTACTCGTTTTCCTGGTCTCTGAGAATGCTGAGCCCAATTGGTTCTGTGTCACTTTGTGGCCATTTAAACATTAAAGTGTACATGTAAGCTAACTTTTTTTTTTTTATCCCATTGATTACTAAATGTTCATAGCTTTATGGTAGATGCTTTACAGACAAATATGAAGACAAATGAAGTGTTTCTTTTGGTAGAGACCAGTATGCTGTGCTTTTGCTTGCCAGGCTTGGCAACATGTGGTGATCTGTGGTATGGAAGTTCTCTATAGGATTCTTGAGTGTCATCTAGCAGGCTAAGAGTATTCTGCTCTGATAGCGTCTACAGAATTTGCCTGGATATGTAGGGATTCTTTTCTGTTTCAATCCTTTCACATGTGTTAAAGTAATAATTAAAGATTCCTTGAAAGATATTCCAAAAAAGGAATTGGGAGGGGAGGGAATCCCGAGAGATAATGTAATAGAGGTCACGAGGAAAAAAAGAGGAAACGTTCTAGAAAAACGCACTGCATGTAAACTTTAGAAATGTTCTTGTTTTGACCCATGTCTTGGCACATGGAAATGTTCTTAAAAATGGGCTGGAATGTAAAACCTCTGATCTATAATCTCAGCTTCAGTACCTCAGTCTTGAGTGCGTTACCTCTCTGCCTCACTTTCCCTATCTGTAAAATAGGGAATAATAAAGCTTGCTTACTTCCTGGGTGTGTTGGATTAATGCTTATGATAAACTACTGTGAAGATAAAAAGCAGTATTAAATAATAAGAATTAAATTAATTGGAGCTTTTTAGTTGAAAGAAAAATGTTTGGAATACATAAAAGATCAGTACAAAAAGATACTTATGAGATCAGTATGCTGGGGAATAAGCTATAAAAATAGAAAAGGGTTTTTATAGTAAAAGGAGAAAACTGATCTAACATGGGTGAACTTTTCCTCTATTAAGATTATGAAAGGCAGCAAATTCTCACAGAGCTTATTTTTCATAGAGCATAAGACAAATTTCCTTGTCTTCCATCAAGTCAAAACAGATCACAATAAAAATAATGGAATTATGTGTTTAAAAATCTTATGATTATGGGTTTCTCAGAGGATTGACAAAACATCGATAATAGCCTAGACCCAAAGGAAATCTGAGATTGTGCATTCAGTAAAGTAAGTGGAACTAGTGGTGAATAGTTAACTTTAAAAAAAAAAAAAAGGGAGGGGGATAGAGGGGGTTTGTGAATTTGATATCAGTTGCATACCCAGAAAAAATGAGACACTTCCGCTATTGGTCCTTGTTGAAATTAGTCTGTTTGTAGGAATCTTTGATCTGTTTTAGTTGTGCAAATGGTCATCTTTGAAGAGCCATTTACATTTACTGTTTATGTCCCATTTTTCTGAAAATTGCAACCCTTTATACGGAATTCTGTAATGAAACCTGAATACATGATTCACCCATTAAGCCTTGATGTATTCATATTTAAATAGATGAGTCTTCTACAGGAATGTTATGCTGACATGAATGTATAAAGTAAGGAACTATGTCTCTTGGCTTGTGGTTTCCTTTAATGTTAAGAGAATTACATGCTCCTGGTCCTCTGATCGCTAACAAGAATAAACGGAAAACCAGCATAGGTTAACAATGAAATGTGTTTTGAACTGGCATATACTGTGAAATAAATGCTCATGGGGAAAGTGGTGGGTTTTTGTCTGGAGAGTTAACTTGTCAATCCGTAGTCATGGAAATGTAGAAATGTAATACAGCTTCAGGTAGTGCCTTTGGCAATCAGTCCCATGGTTTCCTTGGTGATAACACTGGTAATGATCCAGAAGGGGAAATATCAGACTCCCATGGTATGCCTGATTGGAGGTACAGGTTGCTGTAAAACACACAATTAATAATTTAGAGAACAATACAGAATAGCAGTCCTGGCTATATGAGCAGGGTTAAGTAGCAAGTACAAAATACAGGTTCAAATTAAGAAGTTATATCATGCAGGCATGGAAAATGAAACCGGTTGCGCTCCCACACTGTAATATGGTGTTAAAAGCCTACCCATCCTAATTTATATACTGTCTGTACTCTTCCAGGGGTGCACCTCAGAATTTGGGAAAGTCTGATAGAAAAGTCTATCCTAACTTTGGGCTGTAGCAACTAAGTGCCAGCATTTCAGTAAATAGATTAATCTAAAGGTATGACAATGACAACTGTTGTTGCCAATGAAAGGTCAAACATAGCAACTGTATGGAATCCCTCCCCAGCCCTCACAGAAATTGTAAGAATAAAGATCAGAGGGGGTAGCCATGTTAGTCTGGATCTGTAAAAAGCAACACAGGACTCTTGGTTGCTTTTTAAAGAATAAAGATGTGAACTTTGTCTATGTTCAGCTGTCTCCAGGTACTTCCTAGCCACATCCAAGAACAGAACTTAAGGACGAATAAACAAAAGAATCGGAAACAGGAAATAGCTTCCTGTAACTTTAGTAGCCTTAACTACTTTTGAGCCTAAACTGGGCTGCTTGCTATGCTGATTAACAATACTGGAAAGTTCATCCGCATTTGATGACTAAATGACAGCAGTGGTGCTAAACCTGAAACCATCAGCTACTTGTGAACTTAAATAAGATGGGCTGCTAAACAGTGTTATTTTTAGTTATACAGTCACGCAGCACATGTTTGGTTTGGGCAGCTGGCAAACGATACCGAGGAGCCCTCCTTCAGCCTGCCAGGGACTTGGTGACATTCTCAGTCTGCAGTTGCTTTTGTATTTTTGTCTCAAAAATCTGTGATTCTCTACTGGTCTGTTTTTAAAAAGTAAGCAAAAATGTGACTTCACCACTAGCTATCAGCTGAGTCGGTTTTTCAGAACAGGTGGTGCCAGTGGACATCCATTTCAGATCAGGCTGCAAATGAATAGTTCAGATCTGCATTTCCTCTTGTAGTGGAAGTTATACACACCAGGAGTTGCTTTAATGTGCATAGGTAAACGTAGACCGGAGCAGAAAAAAAGCCTTATCTGGAGGGTAATGCAGAGAACTGGATGTCAGGAGATTTAGGTTTCATACTCAGCTCAACCACTGATTTGCTATGGGCCCTTGGGCAAGCCATTTCACCTCTACTTCAGTTTATCCATAGTTAGAATTGGAATAACATCCTTACAGTGGAGTTGAGGTTTAATTTATTAGTAGATTGTAAAACATTGTAAGTGTCTTGTGTGGAAGGTACTATAAAATGCAGTATTTGTTATTAATATTTCCTGGACAGATGACTGTCTTGTTGAGTTTTTCTTGCTGCTTTGAACCTATTAGTCTTTACTCTAAATAAATTCATTAAAATGCATAGCTTGTTATTGAAAAATCTCCATTGCTCTGTAACTGCTTATCAGACTTGGTCCCCAGACAAAATGTTCAACATGGGCCGTCACAACTTAATCTGTCTTGTTGCATTGATGCCAGCAAAAGCCTTCGGTAAAGAAAGTTTTTAGCAGATTTTCAATTTAGACTTAAGACTCAGTTCTAACTTTAGTTACACCCATTCAACTGAGGGCAGAATGGGGCCTTAATTAGGTGGGGAAGGGATGGATGCATCTGTGTCAGAGATGTCACTGGCACAAATGTTTCGTCTTCTAGTCAAAAGACCTTATATCATTGTGAAATAAATAGCTAATCTAAAATTTTGTCCCAAAATAATGCTTGTGCCTCTGAATTTTTTTCTCCCTTTATAGCCTTAATGTTGTTCCTTTGTATCTTGTAATTTGTGTTTATATTGGAAATAAGACTTAAATGTAAAGGGAATAAATCCCCAAGGCATTCTAAAGTTACAGGTACAATAATCGTTTGTGCCATTCCATGGATTAGTATGGCTGTGGTGCATCCTGGTTTTTCCCTTCCCAGGAGATACACGTCCCCTTTACAGCACACCTGGAGAGATTTGAGAAGTGCAGAGTCAGGCTGGCTGTTTTCCCCATTTGTTAATGCTTAGTGCACATAGTGTGTTTTATCTTTAAGGTTCTTTATAAACATTGCATTTGAAATCTCTATTAATTTGTACATAATACTCTCCGCCTGCTTTGGTTTAAACCCAATATTTTATTTTGTGGTGAAAATAGCAAGAGTCTGCAAGTGGCGCCCTGGATATAATTGCCAGTTTCTTATGCCTGAAGCAGTGATCTATTTGTGGTGATGTTGGACGGCCACTCCTTGGGCTATAGGGTAGCAGCTGGGAGTGCCGTAGGGACTGTTCCTGCTGAGGCACAAACCATGCTAGTTACAAGCATTTTCACACATTGTTGTAACCAGCTCAGTTTGGTGTTTCAGCGTGAACAAGGATTTTAGAAATCCCATACTTCACTGTGCTGGCCAGAACCATGCAGTAGACTTCTTCCTCAGCCCAAGCAAGATTGTAGCACAGTTTATGAGCACTCTGTTAATGCAGACGAAGTTACAATTCTGTTTGAAGACAAAATATGAACACTGGTCTAGAAAGGGAGGGTGTATCTACAGTAGGTTCCAGAATTCAGCTGTCCTTGCTTGCACTGTCTTGTGGGGGAAGTGTGGTAGAAGTGACTACTTGATCACTGACAGTTGTTAGCTTGGAGTTTGGGATTAGAAGGGAGAAAAAATAGTGACTGGGTGAAGGTAAATGGATTGACTTTCCAAGTTCCTTTCTCAGAAGGTAACCAATTCCCAGGTTTAAGCTGATAATGATAAAACCCACAGTTTTGTGTATAAAACCTCTTGCCTTAAAATAAAACCTGGTGTATGGCTTAAATATACAGCTGCTTCAACACAGTTTCTTTTTTGTGCAGAATTGTTTCCTGATTTCATAATTGGAGAGGCTGAAACAGTGACAGGTTACTGTTGAGGTGTGGAAGGTGTGAGTGCGTGTTCCAGCAACCAGGTAAGTTTATTACAAAATTAAGACCTAACATCTCTAAGGAGGGAGTTGGGGGAGTACCTCTCTTTGGGATTTGGACTATACCGTATAGCAGTAGGGCTTTATAGTTTTAGCATTGCTGCCTCACAGTTTAAGCGCTGACTCTGTAAATGGAGTTTGTTTTGCTCACCAGCATTGTTGCTGTGTAAGCAAGGCAATATGTAATACCTTTGAACCTGTATTCTCTTAATCAGTACAAAAACAAAATTCTACAACTCCTCTAGTTCCTGGATTGGGAGTGTACTCTGCTGATTTTGTACTTCCTGGTCTTATTTGCTACTGCTTTACGAGGTATGAACCCATTCTGCAGAATGACCTTAAATGTCCCAGAAAGAACAGATACCTAAAATCTTTTTTTCATAAATGTTTTTAATGCTTGTTTAAGTACTTACAACCCATCAATATTTGTTGGGTTAGAGTCCATGTTTTCCCTTCCGAGGGCCTTATTTGGGCATTGTGTCATAAACTTGGGTCAGAGTAGCACGTAATATTTTTTTCCCCTTATAGAACCATGGCAGTTATTGTGTTAATGCTTCATATCTTAAAATTTACTTGAAGTGGTTGCTCTTTGAAAAGCAGAATACAAAAACCTATAAATTAGGTGAAAAGGATATTTGGAATAATTAGTCTAAAACACTGGCAACTAATGGGAGTGCATAGCAGTGATAACTTCTTGAAAATTCACTGGGTTACTGGAAACTGTCCATAGATGAGGTCAGATTGAACCACATGGAGAATAAAAGCTGGGGAAAGTCTTTTTTTTTTTGTTTTTTTAATGCCAAAAATCTTTAAAATGGTATTAAACCACAGCAGGGCGTAATTAGTTTTGAAGTGTTTACTCCTACCAACAACTTGCTTTTCTTTTAGATTGAGAATCATGGAGAAAAACTAATTGCTGTTTGTTTAATTGTATTAACCTGCTCTGCCATGAGCTATGAATTTTGTGAAAGAGCAACATGTTTGTGCCATTAAAATGATACCTCTTAGCAAGGAAAGGAATCAAGATAGTTCAACCACAAACTCAAAAGTTAGAGGGAGAGAGAATAGGTACAATGAGTGGGGATGTCTGAACCACAAGACTTTTAAAGGATTCCATGTAAAGAAGAATTTGCTTTTTGCACTGAAAAAATCTTCAGCTGTTTTGAGTTCAGTCCCAAAGTTCAACACTTGTAAAATATTAACCTCCCTTACAGTGTGTACATATTGCAACACCAGTTCTCTGCCTTCTATGCCAACAAGTCCTGATTAGTAGCTCAACTGAAGCTCCCCCTTCCATTTTTTTTAGTTTGGATGTCATGGTGTCCTGCAAACAAAGGGTCTTATTTGTGAGCTGAGACACCAAAGGAAAGTAAATTCCTGATTAAATTACAAAATGTGAAACAGAGCCTCCAAACCTAAGGAAAATGTTCCTAATTAATAAGCATAAGGCATTTCAGACACACATCCAGTTTGACTTGTTCCAACGTCTTCATTGCTCAGAAAGGTTAATACTGTCAGCTGCACACAGTAAAAGCAGGTGGTTTTCAGTACAGTGCAGCTTGTACATCAAAGGATAATTTTTTGACTAGTCATGATAAAAATTTGATAAGGGAGGGTATTGTTCTCTCTGTTTCTTACATAGGTGGAGGGACTGAGCAAGTACACGCTGGGAGTCAGGACCCCGTGTTCTGTTTTTGGTTCTGACATTCACCGTCTGTTATAGCCTTAGGCAATTTCCATGACTTCTCTCTGCCTCCATCTTTAAAATGGGAATATTAACCCTTGTCCTCCATTGTAAAGCACTTTGAAATATATAGAAGCACTTAGTATTACTTTCATCATTATTATTAAAATAGAATGTTTAACATTTCCCAATTAGCTTTTTTTTTAGCAGATGGTTATCCTAATTTTTGTTCTAGTTTTTAATAAAGTACAGAAAATAGCTACCTGTGCGCTGCAGAAAGCTGCCCACCGCTTTTCCTCTGCAGTAACCTTGAGACCTCATGTTCAAATTGCAGTAGGATTGACTCTGGTCTTCATCCTTCCATGATAGATTAACTGAGTTTCATTCACTTAACGATATGGTGGAGGGCAACACTGGGACAAGGCCCTTAGAAAACAAGTTTTGCTACCTCTTCTTCATGGGTGTTCAAGACCCTGTGGCATTTTTGTGAGTACAAGGCTTTGTTTCATAGCTCTTGGCCAAAATTTGTCCCTATTTCACTCTTGTGTACCCTGCAGAGCTCTGCTTGTCTTCCTTCCATCTCTGAGGTAGCAGCATTTTAGTGGAGCTGTACCAAATGTATATAGTTTTTAGTGCTTCAAGATCCTTTGCAATGTCAGTGAAAATACTACTAGACCTGCACACAGCACTGTGACCAGCTTATGTTTGCCTGCTCTCCAAATACATTTCTTGTGGAAGCAAAAGCCCCTAGTGTGCTCTTTTGGTTAATGTGTGAAATGAAGTTAAGCTTGATATGTGGAACTTTGCTGCTAGGATGGAGACAAAAGCAAGTGTGATGGTGTTTTACTACTTATCTGAGAAGCCAAATTCTGAGAGTCAACTCCAGTTCTGAGCACCAAGTGAAATTTCCATACTTCTGGAAAACTCTAACTTACTTTTCCATATAAACCCTTAGCAGGAGAGAGCTTTGAAAAGAAAGTTTGTTCCAACAGCAGATTATTGTCATAGGAATTTCACAGTACAGAGAATTTCTGGATGCAGCTCACGATTTTCAAAAAAGATGATATTGCGTTACCTTTAGTTTAGCAGTACTCACAGCACCCAGTGAAAAGCAGGCTTTAGCTGATGGTTTTTTCATATCTTCTGCAGAATAGGAAGGACTACACAGAACGAAAAGGTAAAATAACCTTGCCTAAATACAAGTTAATTTCAATGCATTTTACCCACATTTTGTGTGTATACACACACTAATGCTTTGATATGGTAGCTGTACACATTTTGCTTTCAATTATTTGCAGAAGTGTCTTAATATGGAAATAGATGAATCAGATGCAGTAATTGAACTCAACAACTAAGCTTCATGTTAGTCCCTGGAAAGCCAGTGACTAAGTAAGGCTGGATTGATTATCCTGAACTCAGTGATGCAAAGACATATCTGAAATATTTCCTTCTAAGTGCTGCTGCTTGCAAGCATTTACACGGAACCCAAAAGGAATGGCTATTGTGGATACTGCAACTCCACCCTCACTTGGCCCCTGGGTAAGTCCATAAATATGTCCTTATTTTGTTTTCCATTTATGCAGGAAGTATCTAGTTCAAATTGTTTGCCTGACAGGAGAGAGAACAAGAATTCTTTTCAACAAGTCAAGCAAATAATATTTTGACCAGATCCAAGGAACTTCTGCTGTTTAGACTGCAAAAAAAGACAAAGCAGTGCAATTCCTACATAGAATAAAATTTTTACTTGAAGTTTTAAAAAAGATAGTTAAACGGCTTGTTTCTGGGGTTTTTCTTTATTTGTAATCTGTGGTAATTTAGAGGGGAGCACCTTTTCTGTGAAGTGTACCTTAAAATCAGGACATCACAGCAGTTTTGTTAATTTAGCAATGCTGTCTAGTTTTTAGCAAGATTACTTGATTTTAAAATTATGCTATTGGAAATGCATCATCTCTCATTTAGGAACTTCTCATTTTTCCTGTGCCACTAGCTGAAAGAGAGAACACCTTTCATCAGCACTGCAGAGTGCAGGAGGCACTGCCAGAACTTGACCATGTTGCATTTTTGTTTGAGCCTTGGCCTTCTAGTGTGGAATTTCTCAGCCATCTTTATCAGAATGTTTGTATTTAATAAAATACAGCATCAGCTTTTCACCTTTAAAACGATGACTCAGTAACCATCACAAGAAAAAACTGACTTCATTCCTTATTCAGGTGACAGAGCAATCAAAGGCTTCTAGTAGCCTGTATAATCTCTTAGTTTCTGCAGTTAAGGTGGAGACCAAATGGATGGATGTGACAGGGAATCTGCGTTGAATCTGCTTGATTTATAAGGGTTCTTGGCTTGTGGATAAAAGAACTCTGGTTTCAGATGTTTAACACCCTTAACCTTGCTACAGAATATTTAGCCAAAATTACTAAAAATTCCTAACTCTTTTCAGACACATGTTTTTACACTTGAGAAGTATAGTTAACTTGGAGTGAGCACATTTTATTGACGTCTAACAACTGTAGATGCTATAGAAATATGCAAACTACAAGATGGTCAAATTTGTCAACAAGTACACGATGTAGTCTAAGAAATGTTCTCCTTTGAAGCATTGAGGAGCCAGCGGCTGTGGCCCATCTTGATCAGAGGCTAGGTGCCATCAAGGAGAGCGATATGTTGGTGGTAGCAACTAGTTCTTTGGAGTGCTTCCTTTCTCCACCAGTAAGCCAAGATCCCTGTACCAAACGTCTTCCTATAGTAACCAGCAATGATCATCAGGAATGATTATGTAATCAGAAATGCAATGTCAAAAAGTTCATGATATGTAATTTTATTTTAATAAAGATTTGTTTTAAGATTTCCACAGTGTGGCAGTATTTTAACTCATTAATATTTTAACTGAGCTGTGGATTATTGAAGCTGCCCAGCATGTTGATGTAACGCCTCTGCGCCTATTTGTTCTCTCCTATTTAAATAGTTACAATCCTCAGTAGAACTGCCTTAAAGTTTGACTCTGAAAGATAGCTTTAGACTGTATCCTGTTCCTAGATATCAGACTCACTAAACCAGGGGTTCTCAAACTGGGGGTCGGGACCCTTCAGGGAGTCGCAAGGTCATTACATGGGGGGTCGTGAGCTGTCAACCTCCACCCCAAACCCCGCTTGCCTCCAGCATTTATAATGGTGTTGAAAATATTTAAAAGTGTGTTTAATTTATTAGGAGGTTGCACTCAGAGGCTTGCGATGTGAAAAGGGTCACCAGTAAAAAAGTTTGAGACCCACTGCACTAAACCATCATTTGGGAAGATTCTTTCAACACTTAACAGCTTTAACACAAGGTTGCAGCCCGGTTTCCAGACAAAACCAGCAGCTTTGGTTGAAAATTGGCTGTCAAACTGTCTCCCTCTGTATGAAAACAGTTCCAAGTGCACACACAAGTCATTCCGGCCTTGCTCTCTGCAACAGATCAGGCAGGATCACCAAAGCTTTTTTCTGCTGCCAGATGAGACCTACTTTGCAATGGAGGAAAATAATCCTGGCCCTTTAAATGTGGAAGGGGGTGGAGGTTGAAGTGTCGTCAGGACTGAAAGCAGGAAGGAAATGTGACCTCTCGCAGACTCATTGCTAAAGAGGAGCCTCCATAGCTCTCTGTGCAACGTGCAACAGGCTTCTGCTGCACTCCCCACTCGCAGGGCCACGCACGTTTTCATTTTCTACCCACTTCCAGAGCTGCTCTCCTCTATCAGCCGTGTCAGGCATTGTGCCTATGTTTCCTTTACGTGGATTCCCCCCTATCCAATCAAGAAGTCCAAACAATAAGGTAAGTGTTTAGCCAGGGCCACTTTCCTAGTTAATCCGTCTCTTCCATTTACAGGTAACTCTTTCCATTAGAACCAGAGTAATCTTCAGGAGTCTTGTGTCACGATAAATAAATTCCTTCGAAACGTTGCCTCCGTCAAACATCTGAGAATTTATTTCAAGTTTCTACAAGGAATGGAGAGAGGGAACTATTTATATTCTTAGGATTTTTGTACTATAAAGTTCAGAGGCAATCTCGGTAAATAAATCATTTAACTCCTTTAGGACAGAACTCTAGGTTGAGCTGTTCCAAGCTTACAAATGCAATGTTACCATGGTGAGGTGAGAGGAGTCTGCCTTGCTCTTCTGGTTTAACCCTTTGAGTCCAGAGGCTGTTTTAAAAGAGCTATATCTAGGAGCCAGCTCACTTGCTAGGAATGAGTTCTGTTTTCTATTTTTATTGCGTGCAGTGACATTGACGGTCAAAGCAGCAACCAAAACAGCTTTACAGGGAGGAGAGTTTCTGGCACTTAAACCAAACAAAAGAATGACTGACTAGTAAATGTTGTAGACCAAAGTAGACTCATGGTGACAACAACAAAAATCCCCTAAAAATATTTAGTTTGATGAAACAAACAATATTCAGCTTTTTTTAAGATCCTGTTTTGTGATCATCTCAGGCCACTTTATGATCTTCTGCATGAAAGAGAAGCATAAATTTAAAATCTCCAAACAGTTGAAAGTGTAGCATCTTCCTATTCTAAGTATGGTCGTGTTCCTATAGCTAATCCTGGGATGAGGGAGGGGTAGTGTTTTCTCCAGGTGGTCAGTAGTAGTCTGAGGAGGTGATCGTGTTTTCAGACCCTCTAAAACTTGGTTTTGTGCTGGGTAAAAAGTAGTCTCTTTGTTATCAGGACTTCATTAAGGCTGGCTCCCTAGTGTGCGAGTCTAGTATGTTGTAGATTGGGATAGTCAATTATTTTTTTGTCAAGATCCAAATTTCTTGATCAAGGTATAGTTAAGGTTCAGACTCCCATAAGTAGGGTAACCTCTTTGGAGAACTCAGGGCTTGTCTGCGCTTGAAATGCTACAGTAGCATAGCTGCAACTGCTTCAGTGTTGGTACTACCTACGCCAATGGGAGGGCTTTTTCCATCAACATAGGTACTTCACTTCCCTAAGAGGCAGTGGCTAGGTCGGAGGAAAAATTCTTCTGCCAGCCTATCGCTCTCTACACCAGGAGTTAGGTTGGTTTAACTTAGCCACTTGGGTACGGATTTTTCACGTCCCTGAGAGATAGGTGGGTCAACCTAACTTTTTAGTGCAGACCAGGCCATAGCTTCTTGTTAGTTTTGTTATATGAAAACCACTAAAGACTTAATTGTTCAAGGTGCAACTTAGACCACCTTTTGTGGCCTTTAATATCTTTTTAAGCCCTGTGGCTGTTGAATTCCTTCCATTATTATATTTTACTTACATCCTTCGTTTCCACTGTATTTTGAGTTTGGCTATTTAACTTTTGGTCCACATTTGGCTAATGGCCATTTGAAAAGCTGCCAATGTCTCAACACAATTATTTTATACAGATTGTTTTCTTTTAATTTTTATGTAAAAACTGTCCTTTCACAAGTGTTCTCTCATTGAAAAGTGGCTATCATTTGGGGCTTTCCTACTTTACTGATAATGCTTCTCATCTGTGATCTGTTACTGCTTATTTTTCTGCATCCAGAGCAGAAAACATATATTTCCATGTGCTTTACAGTATGGAATATTTTAACTATTGTTAATAGATTTGCCATTACCAGTTTTTCTTGGAAGGGGAGGCAGAGCATGTGTCATTTTTAAAATGAAAAAACTAAAGTAACTTCTGTCTTGGTAACTTCATCTGTTATTCTTGGGCATAACCCCACTTTGTATCGTGCTGATTCTGTTACTGCCATCATGCTGTTCCTGAAAAAGGTGTTGGTGACAGTGGTTGATGGAGTATCCCACACACTTTGGACTCAGAGAGAGCAACTGGAAATGAAAACATTTCAAGTCAATCCACTGGAATTCACTTAAAATGGACACAAGCAGCAGATAGAATTATTTAGCTTATATAAATAGCAGGTAAAGAATGAATAGGCTTTTAGCTGTGTAGCACCTTTTTTTCTTTCTGGTCTCATACAGCAAGTTTTACTATTTTAACCAGATCCACAAAAAGATTACTGAACCTTGTGTTAACTTGACCAGTTTTCCATATTCAGTTAACATTACTCTTAGCTTTAAACTATTTCCCTGTTTCCCTCTGCCCAGAAGTAATATTGTAGTGCACACATTTCAGGTGTGTTACTGAGGAGTCCAGTTTATAAATCAGTTTCTGATGCACAAAAGTTTTAAATGCACTGTTTTATGTCATGATAACATCTTTTCTCACAATTTTTAGGGATTTAGATGGTAGTTTTTAAGCATCTTAATTTCTTGTACTACAAGGGCAACTTGTGATATCACACATTAAAAATATATATATAGTCGTATCTCACATGTTACTTGCTGCAATAATCTCCACTGCAATATACATTCTTCTCCCCGTGGTATAATGAAAAATAATTAAGACTGAAAGAATTATGACTAAATATTTGTTTTGCAAACACCCAATTGAATAATCAGTTTGAAAAAAATACACTCTCCATGCTTGTTTTCTGATTGGAAAAATTTAGAGCCATTGAACTATAAAAATAAATAGATCATAACTTGTTAGTCCTTCCAGGAAGAGGCG